GGAGGGCCCTTAGAGCACAGGATGTCAGAGCTGGGAGGGCCCTTAGAACACAGGATGTCAGAGCTGGGAAGGCCCTTAGAACACAGGATGTCAGAACTGGGAGGGCCCTTAGAGCACAGGATGTCAGAGCTGGGAGGGTCCTTATAGCACAGAATATCAGAGCTGAAAGGGGCCTAGAGCACAGGATGTCAGAGCCTTTAGGACTTGACTCAAGATCCACCTCATGGAGGTGGCCTTTCCTGGTGCCCCCAGCCATCCATGTCAAACTTTCCTTTTAAAGCTACCTTCCATCCACCCTATATTTATTTTGTATGCTCTGATTTATATGTCCTCACACCTTCATCCCTTACTAGAATAGAAGCTTCTTGAGGGCAAGGACTTGCATCTCTGGCATAGTGTCTTGCATGCAGCAAGTTCTTAATGAATGCTTATTGGTTGATTAACTATTGAGAACCAAGGTTAGAACACAGAATGTTAAAATTCAAAAGAACCGTAGAAAGAATGCAGCTCATCTCTCATTTGACAGATTAGGAAGCTGAAGTCTGGAGAGGGAAAGTCATTTGCTGAACAGCACACAGTAAATCCCTGGCAGAGCCAGGAGGAGCCGCTTCCACTGGACCACACTGTCTGATTTTCGCCTCACCGGATCACATGCTTGCCCATGGAGCATCACTGCAGTGGTTCTGGGTACTTCTGACTGGGCACAATGTCCTCCTCTTCCTCACATTCTGCCTTTGGAGCTAAGATGCCCAAGATGTTCCATGGGAAACCCATGGCTTCCTCAGACACTCTCCAGGGGAGGGGAACCTGCAGCCTCGAGGCCACATGTAGTCCTCAAGGTCCTAAAGTGCGGCCCTTTGAATCCAAACTTCACAGAACTTATCCCCTTAATAAAAGGATTTGTTTTGTAAAACTTGGACTCAGTCAAAAGGCCGAATCCAAGGACCTAGACATGTGGCCTCAAGGCTGCAGGTTCCCCACTCTTGTGTCTGTAAAAGACAGCCAGTAAAGACATACTATGTTCCAAAAATCTTGGGCCTGGGGTACAGTGGAAGGGAGCCAGGCAGGCCTGATTTCCCACTATTCATTGCTACCTGGAGTCTGCTTCTCCTGAGATGGGATTCCATTAAGCAGACCCAGGACAGGCAGAGGGAACTGGAGAAACAATGCAGAGTTTGGTGGCCTCCTGGGCATGGCCAATTTAATTTAGAGAGAACGAGACCAGAGACGATTAATTAAAACCATGAGTAAGACATCTGAGTTTCTATAGAGAGAGGAAGGAAGGCGTTGGAGGGAGAAGATGTGTCTACAGCATGTGTGTGTTTGTGATGGAAGTGGGTGGTGAGGAAGGAGAGGTGGGCACAGAGGAGAAAGATGTTGCCATTACCTCAGACGGATTTGCAGATCTGAAGCGGGCTTGGAGGCAAGGAACTGTGGAGCTAGTACTGACCCGGGAGGAAGGAAAACTGGGTCTGGTCTTGTTTCTGTTCCTCACCGTGAAACCTTGGGAGACCCAGGCAACCTTTCTGAGCTTCAGATGCTGCTCTTCAATGGGCAGGTGATGGCCTGATAGTTTCTGAGGCCTATTGGAACTCTGACAATTTATGTTCTGATTCTCCACCTAGTCTGATCTTTTGTGTTCTAAGGTCCTTCCCAGCTCTGACATTCTATATTCTAAGGGCCCTCCCAGCTCTGACATTATGTGTTCTATGGGCCCTCCTAGCCCTGATATTCTATGTTCTAAGGCCTCCTTCAGCTCTGACATTCTGTGTTCTAAGGCCCCTCCCAGCTCTGGAGTTCTATGTTCTAAGGGCCCTCCCAGTTCTGACATTCAGTGTTCTAAAGGTTCCCCCAGTTCTGACATTCTGTGTTCTAAGGCCCATTCAGCTCTGACATCCTGTGTTCTAAGGGCCCTCCCAGCTCTGACATCCTGTGCTCTAAGGATCCTCCCAGCTCTGGCATTCTATGTTCTAAGGTCCCTCCCAGCTCTGACATTCTATGTTTTAAGGCCTCTCCCAGCTCTGATATTCATGGTCCTTCCAAATTCTGACATTCTATATTCTAAGGCCCATCCCGTCTCTGACACTGTATGTTCTG